GATAGTCTGCAGTGAGTGATTTCAGACAGGTGACACATTTCAGAGTAGTGTAGGAAAATGCACTTCTATTGCAGATGTGTCAGCAGGTCACTGGTGGATGGGACCCTCTAGGTGTGATGGCAGTACTTTGCCAAGATTAATTTGTTACCTGTTCCAGAACCCCTGTGGAGCTAGATAAATATTATTGTCCCAATTCTACTGATGGGGAAATTGAGGCACCGAGGGCTTGCTTCCCCCTATGTGAACATCAGCTCTCTGTCTCACAGAAGGACTGGCCCTTCTAGCCCCATATTTACCATCACCGTGCAGAATCAGCCTGTCCATCCTGTCCCTCACACAGACCCTTTCCTTCTCCTGGCACAGAAGCCCACTAAGATGCATTGTTTCCCACGACTCAGTCAGACGGCAGGGATTATAGTCAGAGACGAGAGGGCCAAGATGCTGAAGCACAGATGATCTCGAGATAGGAGGCCAAATTCATCCCTGGTGTAACTCCTCTGACTTCAGTTACTGTTGGGGTAAATTTAGGCCCAATCAAACTAACAAGGAACCAGCTGTCAGAGGACAGCTGAGAAGGAAAATAATGAAAAATGGATGCTAACAAAATTCCCACCCACTATAAAGCAACGTCCCTCACCCTCCTTGACAGTGAGCAAAGATTTACACCAACAGTCCGAGAATGGGAGCTTGGCTAGTCCTTCCGAGTGTCACATAGCAGAGCTCGTTGTTTGCCCAGCTGGGAAGCCAGCAGCAGGAGATTCCACACAGCAGTGTCCTGTCCTGGGATGTAGCGAGAGCTTCCCCACCGCAGCACCATTGCCTTGCAGTAGCAGCTAGAATGCCAGCAGCCTGAGCTATGACAAGAGCATCAGCTGATTTCTCAAAGCAGCCTCCAGTCAGTGTCTGCTACCACTAGCAGAAAGTGCCCTGCTGCAGCTCCTAAGATTTCCTCCTGCCCCAGCAGTGCCTTGGCAGAGTCTACATGGATTCCAAAAGGAATACTGCCTCATCCTCTCCAACACACCACCTCGTTCCTGCATGTAAGCCCTGGGCAACTCAACAGCCCAACCTCAACTGCCCAGCCTTGAGCACAATGCAAATCACCAGTGTAGAGATTGAAAGCATGGGATCTGCTAGCGCAGGGCCCGCAAAAGGTGAGGATTAGAATACCAGGATTCATAACCCAGAATCTACACAGCAGGGGAAAACATCCGTGGGATTTGGATGCCAGCACTGGGGTCCAGCAGGCTCCACCTCTCAATGCCACCCTCTCTGAGTGCAGCAGGTCCCCAACATCACTGGCTTTGCATTGGCAGGCTCCAAGTGCAACAGAGAATGTGGGTGTTTGAGTGCCCCTGGGATGTCTCTGCTGGAGCTGCCTGTTGATTTGAGAAGCCCTCAGGCTCACTCCACTCCTTGCTGGGTAGATGAACTGTGCCCCCGGGGGCTGGGGGTGTGGATGGTGTGTGTGTGTGTGTCTGGGAGACACTAAGTCACCTGCATACACATTTCACCAGAAAGTTGCACAGCTGTGCGCCCATGGTGGGGGTGGAGGGACGATGACCCAGGATGTTGCTGATAACAATTAGAGCCAATTAATAATAGTACTTGGCTCTCAGGTTATACAAGCATGAACTGATTGATCCTCACCCATGGCAGAAAGGAGCTAGCGTCACCCCAATTCCGCAGTGCGGAATCTGCTAAAGCGCAGAAGAAATGATCTGGGGATCTGAGTTCCTGACTCTGTCGTTGGTGGCCTGGGCCAAGTCACCTCCCTTCTCAGTGGCACTCACCAGCATCACAGGAAGGTAGATTCGCTGCTGCTTGTAAAGTGCTCTGAGATCCTCTGGGGGAAGACACTAGAGATGGGAGGGTATTATTATTATTATGATGAAGTGACTTGCCCGATGTCCCACACCAAATAATTGGCTGGCCTGGAACTCAAACTCAGGAATTCTTGGCCCCCAGCACTATTCTCAGTCAACTGCCCCAACCCTGGCTCTTTCTACTTCTCCAAGCATAGCCAGCTATGGGAGAGAAGTGGAACTCTCCACTCTGGCCCTGCACTCACACATGTGTGGTGCTAAGACTTCAGGGGCATGCCTCCTAGTTCTTTGCTCTGTGGAATCGTGTCCACTTTGGGCACATGGAGGGGAGCAGCAAACCCGGAGCTAGTGGGAAGGCACTGGAGGTCACTCAAGTGGCGCTAGCCTGCAGCCACATTGCAAAGTGGTCGTGTTAGCTGCTGATGAGCTTTAGCTACATCTCCCAATGGGCCAGCCATCATCACACTTGAGTGAAGGGGTTTAGTGTGTGGACAGGACTGGAGGTAGGGGCAACACTTGAGTTATAACTCAAGTTGCAGTGAAGACAAGCCCAACACATCCAAATGTTCCTGCCTCTAGCCTCAGAGCCAAGTGGAGTAACTTGCAATTACATCATGTATATACAGGGAGTAGGGGAATCAGAGGCACAAGCTGAAGAATAAATGTCTTGGTGCTCCTGCTTGAGACAGACACGCCCAACCCCACAAGCCAGTCCTGGGCCTAACAGAATGTTGCTGTTTTGCCTGACCTCCCAGCATACCCTGTTTGATTTTCCTTAGGGACTTTCCTATGCCCCTATAATGGCACTGCTGACACTGCCCATCATCCTGCTGACATCACTTTCAATGTGCCTGCAGGTCTCCTGCCTCCTTCTCCAGCCTTGACCCTTTCAATGGGTTTGCATCTTTGCTGTCCAGGGCTGGGCTCCAGTGGGGACAGCAGAGCTGGGCATGACAGGGCTGAAAACACCATGGACCCAGGGCAGCTGGGGACCTTCTCATACCAGAAGGTCCCCAGAGAGCAGAATGTGAACATCATCCCAGAGAGCAGAATTATCTCTCTCTTCCTGTCACCCTCCCTCTGTCTTTCCCTCTCTTTTACCTTCCCCCTGCCTTCCCTTCCACGCCTCAGCTGCTCCTGCTCTATTCAGCATTTGCCCTGAGCTCCCAGAAGGTGGATTTCCCTTTAGGTCAGGAGCAAAAGAAAGGGCCCCTGATGTCACCCTCCTGGATGATGGCTTCAAGCAAAGAGATACAGCAGACACGGAGACTGAATGCAAGCAGCCCTGGATCTATGGAAGTAGGATGGTTACAGAAAAGGCCGCTGCTTTATCAATCACCTCTGCTCCCCGCACTACACCCCTCCATACACAGTGGCCTGTTCTTAGTTACACCCATTACAACTACATGGGTTTGACTGGGCTCGCCCAGATGTTACTGAGAGCGGAGTTATCCTACAGCTAATCTGCAATTGTGCATCTAAAGCAATGTGCTCTCCAACAGGGGGGAGGATGGGGGAGCTGGGTGGGAAGGCCAAGCCACTGGGACCCCCTGTGGGGATTAACACCAGCACTTTGAATGGAATGAATCTGCAGTAACCAGCTGCACTCACAGGAAGGGTCCAGAGATGAATTAGCAAGAAAGGCTGGCTCAGGCTTTGAGCCATGGGGATGAAGGTCAACCTGTGGAACTCTTTGTCAGAGGATTTTGTGAAGGCTAAGACTAAAACAGGATTAAAAAAAGAACCAGATAAATTCATGGAGGATAGGTCCATCAATGGCTATGAGCCAGGATGGTGTCCCTGGCCTCTCTTGGTGTCCCTGGCCAGACACTGGGAATGGACGACAGAGGATGGATCACTTGATGATTACCTGTTCTGTTCATTCCCTCTGAATCACCTGGCATTGGCCACTTTCGGAAGACAGGATACTGGGCTAGATGGACCTTTGGTCTGATCCAATATGGCTGTTCTTATGTCTTTCTCTCTCTCTCTCTCTCTCTCTCTGCCACCATTTCAATGTGAAAAGTTATGCCAGGCCAGTGGCACAACAGCTCCTGATGCAGCTGCCAGTAGAGGAGGAAAAGGTTCCATCTTCCCATGCTGCCAGTTGGCAAGCCTCTGACTCAGTGTGCTACAGCTAGGCTGGGGGCTGAGTCCCTGAGCAATCTTTCTGCTCTTACAGTCCTCCGCAGAGTTTGTTCCAGAGCCCCCTCCCCACAAACAAAACTTTCTAGTGCTTCAGTGGGCCAGCTGCACAGACACAGACTTCCCAAGATTTCTATGGCCTGACAGCCCACTCCACCAACAGGAGTCACACAAGTCAGCCAGCCTCCAGCCTAAAGCCTGCAGCAATGCCCCAGCCTTTCCTCTGGGCCCAGATTTATCTTCAGCCATCACACCTCCAGCTCCTCCTCCCTGAGACCAGAGAGAACAGTGAGGTAGTGGGGTCCATAACAGCCAGCCAGGAGGTTGATTCTCCGCCACTCTCTCTGGTTCACTGGCTTGAGCGATTGCCACATCAACTCAGAGCCAGAGCATAGCCGAAGGGAACAGCACAATGGACAATGATCCTGAACAAGGCTGGGGAGCAAGGGAAATCCCCTCAGCTGGGAAAACTGGGTCTCCCACTAGCATGCTCTGAGCCACTGGCCCAGCTAGCTACTCTACCCCAAAGGATGCTAACCCAAATGCTTTCGGGGGGCTGAAAAAGCAAAGCATTCAGCACATTGCCAATCACAGGAATCACAGCATCGGCCTCAGGTCTATGGAGCAAATAAATAAATAAATAAATCAACCACACACCACTGGCATCTGGGAATTCAGTTTCCACCATTTCTATTCAATGCAGAGAAAAAAAGAGGCTGACACCAAAGCATTTCTCCCAGCCAGTCAGAGAAGCAGCACGGGGCAGAGCAAAGAGCATTGTATTGGATGGAAATGAATGGAGCCTAGTTCTACTAGAAAGGTGATGCTTGCCTGCCATTATATAACCCAAGCTCTATGATGCAATGATCATCAAGGAGGGCTATAATTACAGTCCTTGTACCTTCCCTGGTTCTCATTGTAGCACTGAGCCGCATCCCTCTGGGTGGGATGTTTTCCTAGGGACATCAATACAAACTGACATAGGGGGCTTTGTGAGTCAAAGGATCTGCAGCAAGATACAGCCCTTACCTCCAGCGACTGCTTCCAGCTCATGCCATGCCTCCTCGGGAGCTGCTCCTCCTTTCATGTACAGAACAGCATCCGGAGAAGAAACAGAACAAATCACCCACTCTGATCTACACCAGCCCCCAGCCGCAGTCAGACACAGGACCAGGGAGCTAGATTCTCCCACACTGCGTCGTTAGATCAAGTCTTTCAGAGAAAAATCCACGACTCTGATGTTTTGCAAAATAAGGGTGGGAGAGAATTTGTCCCACCAAAAAAAAAAAGCAAGCAAGACAGACAGCAATCTCAGGGGACTGAAATACACTTCCCCTCCTCCCCAGCAAACCCGGAGCTGGTATCCAGAGAGCACGATCTGAAAGATGCAAGCTGTCTCACACGCACACGCTGGCATGCGTGCGCACACACACACACACACACTGTCGTAGACCAAACCCAGTTAAAGAGACACAGCCATTATTATCATTAATGCATGACTGCAGGCTGGCTAGTCTCCCCAACTCCTGGCTAGGATACTCAGAGATTACAACCATTCACTGTGGGAAACATCCAGGATTAGGATTTTTATTGGCTTCCCCCCACTTTTCTTATTGCCCTCTTGAGGTCAATCATATGGACTTGCATTTGCAAAAAGACAAAACAGCTAGATAGGAGAATACTAAGGCGATAGGCAGAATAGAAATGTGATAGATATTTTAACTGTGAATATTTGGTTTTGGACACAAAGCACGTGGTGCTCCCCTCTCTCCTTTTGGGGCACCAATGTAACCCTTCCCTGGGTAATGAAACAGGAAGCTTGTCATGAGCTCCCGTACACAGCGGGGTTAGTGGCAAGTAGCTGAGCTATTGTGACTCACATGAAATGTATGAAATATTGCTGCTCCTGATGAGTCCTTCCGGGTTGTCATTGGCATGACATGCTCAGCTGTGCCTTTCACCCTTGATCCACATTCCTGCCACGCCGCCAGTGGGTATGAACATCAGGCTAACACACCTGCTAGCTAGCTTTCCGGGCAATCCGGGTCCAGCTACGGATGAGCTTTGAATTCAGGGAGATGGGGGAACCAGCTGAATTCCTACCCCGGGCACTGGGAAAGGAAGCAAATGCCCTCACTCCCACATGCTCCAGTGGTCGTCTGTGCCCATAGGCTGGGGGCCTGCATGGACATCTCTCCTGATCTGTTGCCCAAGGGACAGCAAACTTCCCCAGACTCAGAGTTAGCAAGGCCAGAGCTGGAGCTCTGAACCCCACTAGCTGTCCCTTAACAAATGGAGCATGCCCACTCCCTCACCCCACCAGTTTCCTTGGGCACATGTGCCACTGAACTCAACTAGTGTCCCTACTAAAGGGAAGGGAACAGTCAGCAAGCATGGGGGCAACCCCCCCCTTACTCTCAAGCCAGACACACTCGTTAAAGGTTCCCTACCCCAACTGCCACTGAAACCTGCCTCACCCACCTTCCCCAGCCCTGCAGAGTCCTGGCTTCCTTGCTCCCTTCTTGATTATTTAAAAGGCAGGTCAGGTTTCTCAATCTGGCAAGCATGTAATGTGTTGTGGGGGGGAGGGGTGGAGAACAGGCCACATGTCTTAAAATAGAAACATCCCTTTCTCTGTCTCTCTCTCTCACACACACACACAACCTCCCCCCCCCCCCTTGCTCTCTCTGTCTATAGAGTCCCCACAGCCTCTCCATTTCCTGCTTCTGTCCCCCTCTCTCCCTACTGTGCTTTACTTGAAGATGATCTGGTTTCCCTGGTACCATACTTTCCAATGCAATGGGCCCTTGCAGGCTTGGGAGGCTCCCTGGAGATAGGCACGGCAAGCTCCCAGGGCTCCACAGATTCTGCTCCAGCGGGAAGTGTGGTCACAGTGGGCCAAGCTCATCACAGATACACTAGGGTCAGGATGCATTTGGCCCATTGTGCTGATTGTTCGTGTTCTGTCCCTGCATCATGAATGAGTTCCACATTCAGATCATACAAACACAATTGCCTGGGCAAATCCAGAGAGGAGGCCAGATCCTCAGCTGGTGTAAATCAGCGTAGCTACATTGAAATAAATGGGCCAGATCCTGAGGTAGTATAAACTGAAGTCTCTCCATTGAAGCCAATGGGATTATGCCAGTGTTCACCGACTAGGGGGACTGGCTCAGAGACCACACCCATACACAGAAGCATGCACGACACCACAACTGAGGCAAACAAGGTTTATGATACAGGCAGACAAATGCCCCTTCACCCACTGAAGAGGAGCTTTGGAGTTGCTGTTCGGATAAGGATCAGGCTACCTGGGGTTCAGGTTTCAGGCCTGAGGATGAAGCAAAGTTCAGGATGGTAGCCATGAACTCCCACAAGCTGCAGAGTAATTCAGATGTGCCACTGACTTGCTGGTGACCTTGGGCAAGTCATTTCACCTGCTTGTGCCTCAATTTCCCCTCCCACGCTTTGTCTGTTTTTTCTATTTAGGCTGTCAGTTGTTTGGGGCAGGGACTCTCTCTTACTAGGTGTGTCTGTACAGTGCCTAGCACAATGGAGTCCTGATCTTGGTTGGGGCCTATAGGTGCTACACTACACTAATCATAATAAAAGCAACTGGTGTTGGCAGTTTCCAGCCTCTTGTCTGATGGAGAGCTCACTAGGTTAACTCACCTGCAGAGATTTCTATCATCTTGGCTGCAGTCTCCTGGGAACAGCTGCTCCTGCCAGATTTCTGCACCATTCAGAACCAGCACTTTTTGTACATACACAAATGTACAGGAACACCCAAACACAAACACGTTAACATAGACCCATAAGGAAAGCAGATCCCAATCCTGCAAACCTTTCCTCCTGCATGTAGCGCCAACTCCCACATGTTAGGCTATGCACGCAAGTCAGTGTCTGCAGGATTCAGCCCACAGGCACACAGAGACACATGAATCATAGAATCATAGAATATAAGGGTTGGAAGGGACCCCAGAAGGTCATCTAGTCCAACCCCCTGCTCAAAGCAGGACCAATTCCCAGTTAAATCATCCCAGCCAGGGATGGTCAGCCTAGTGGTCATACTTCAGCAGCAAAGTGGGAGAGCCAAACTCAGTTCCTGGTCCTGGCATGCCAGTTTTGGGGCTGGGGTAGGGACACTGTCCTGGTAACACACAGAGCCTGTGGCAGGAAAGAACATGTCTTTCTCTGCTCAGCAGTGATCTGGTTAAAGGGTCTGATCTAAATCTTCCTCAAAGGGAAATACAATAGGGGAGGTGCGACGGATTTCCAGAGGAGCACCCCAGGGGAAAATAGCATGCAGCCCTGAAACACAGACACAGCCGTCAATGTCCAGAGTCTGAACCACAATGAAGCAGCAGGACTACAGAAGCACCACTTTGCTGCTTCCCGACTCAGGCTTTACTCACCTGGTAGAGCGTAGATTTGCCTCTTGTTTATGCTCCCTGCATCATTGCTGCAAAACTGCTCACTTCACTGACAATCCCACAAAGGAAACCACTGTCCTAGGTTAAACCCCGAGGCTGGGGAGATGGCGAAGAAACCACATGGGATGGCAAGGGCAAATCATTCTTAACGGTGGCTGTAGGGCAGTTCTGATGGCCCAAAGACAGCACCATGTCTTGCCAATCAGCATGGTTGATGTGAAGTCCCGGCCTCTGTTCTCTGCTACTTGTGCAGCTGCACCAACGTTGATCTGGCTGCAGGCGTGTGACTATTGGTTCAGCTCGAGAGGTGCTGAGCACCCACATATGTCACTTCAGGCAATACTCAGCAACTCATGGGGCAGGCCAAGGAGGAAAACCAAACCCTCTGTCTTTCTTTTCAGAGCCGACTGAACTGAGAAGAAAAATAGCTGAAGTTCATCCAAGGATCAGCCTTGCGTTGCTCCACAGTGTCCCCTTCTGGCTGATTGGCCTTAAGCAGTCTCAAAAGGCAGTTTGGGTCTACTCTCAGCAAGAGAGGACATTGGTTTGCTTTTGTGATTAAGGCAGCAGCCTGAGACTGAAGAGATCTGGTTCTAGTCACAGTTCTGGCAAAAGCTATGAGCTTGGACACGTTGTTTAACTGCTTAGTGCCTCAGCTTCCCCAGCTGTAAGGACAGGGAAGGGAGAATAATATTGCCCTATGTGGCAGGGACATTGTGGAGATTCAGTCACTCATTCCTGTGAGGTGCTTAGACACTACAGTGAGGACTGCCCCAGAAATGCCTGTAATTAAATAATGACTGGTCACTGTGATGCAGGGATGTATCTATATCAGGGGAACATACATGCAGCACAGATCCCGTGCTACCTAAGGCCTCAGATTTCTTCCCTTAACCAACTTTCCCTACCTGAGAAGGCTCCAGCCTGTTGGCACAGAGCCAGATGAAACAGACATGTGGCAACAGGTCAGCTTTGCAAGCTGGCCCACGATAGGCAATTGAATAGGCCATTTGAAATGCAACCAATTCCACTGTAGCAATATTTAGTATATGTGATGCATCCCCATTAAAAGGAAGAGCTATGAAATGTTAATGAGCCACGCGAGAGGTTCTAACGGAAATCCAGCATGATTGTAAATAGATTAACTGTCAAGAACTGGAGAAGAGCTAAAAGGCCCCCACATATTGCAAATGGCAACGCTGGTCTGAGTGACCAGGCAATTCACAGAAAATTACCTCCCACCTAACCAAGAGAGCTTAGGGCTATGAAACCACTTGGTCCTGTTTTATCGATATACATGACTAAGAACAAGAGGAAATACCTGCTAGTGCTATATCTGAACTCTGGTGCGAGCATTCGGGAATCCTCGGGACCCAATCTCAGTGACGCAGGTGTAAATCTAGAAGAGTTCCACTGATGTCAGGTACAAGCACCATATAAAAACAAAGAACACTGAGATCAGCAGGTTTCAGAGTAACAGCCGTGTTAGTCTGTATTCGCAAAAAGAAAAGGAGTACTTGTGGCACCTTAGAGACTAACCAATTTATTTGAGCATGAGCTTTCGTGAGCTACAGCTCACTTCATCAGATCATCAGCTGGCTCAGCAGAGTTGCATCAGTGCAGCTGAGCACTGAATTTCGTCCTTACTGTCTAATTCTCTGGTGTGAGAGGTGTGTACATCACAGCTCTAGGGTCCAGTCCCACAAACACTAGTGAGCACAGTGCTGAAGCCAATGAGATTGCTCACGGTTGGTAAAATCAGACCCTTTCTTTGCACAGCATCTACAGTCCCGATTCTACAATCAGATTCATGCAGACAGTGTCCCAGTGAAGTCAACAGGGCCCCACAGAGGTGCAAGGGTCCATACACATGGAACCAAAAACAGGATAAGGGCCCCATTGCAGCTGCGGGCAGACTTTGCCAATCATTCCAACCTGTATCACTATTATCCAGTGATAAATAATGCACTTACAAAGTCACA